ATAAAAAGCAATCATATCAAAACATAAAATTACGTACACTTATAGCTACATATACATACCAAGGTGTCAGGACAGCAAGCAACCAGTGTAAACTATGAACATAATACATGGGGTTTTACTACTATGTTCAATATGTTTTACTATACAAAATGAAGTATAATACTTTATAAATTTTATTGCAATAACTATAAACTTACCTTCTGTTGATAGGAATAAAAACATACTTCTCTTGCAAATACTGTGGACTGAAGAATTTTTCTGATGCTTTGATTCTTGTTAAGCATATCGTTGTATTAATAATAAAAATCATCAATTAGAACAGTAGTTTTACCTGGATGTTTGCTTTCCCAAATTCTGTTGTCCACATAAAACAGAATAGAAAAAGGAATTGAAAATGGGAAATGGACATGGAATCTCCCTGTGTAATATTGAATATTAAATTAAATGATGAACATACTCTTTCAAACTATGGTAATTGTTCTTCTTTCTTATGAGTTTTGAAATTCAAGATTCATGTCATGAACATTTATGGTATTATTATTATTATTATTATTATTATTATTATAAAAATTTTAAAAAATCTTGATTCCATAGTGAATGGCTATATTCGTAAATGGCTTGATATCCCGATATGTGGTACACTGAGTAATGTTTTTCTACAACACAATAAATTTGGTCTCAATATTTGTCCTCCATCAATTAAATTHATTCAGTGCCAAACTGTTCTCCGTAATTCCTTAAAAAAGTCAAGAAATGTTTCTATAAGAGATTTCTGGAAGTCATCAAGCAGTCACACTAATGTTCAATACGATGTGTATAATTCCACCAAGGAAGTTCTTAAAGATTTTCGTTCTCATCAAGGTTTCTTTTTCTCAAATGTCATAAAGTTTTCATTGTCATCTGTTTATTCTATTTGGTCTTCTGTTCAGTCTAACCTACCCAAGAACATTTACAACTTTACCATTCGCTACATAAATAACTCCCTTGCTACACGAAAGAATCTGACAAGGTGGAGATTATCACAAAAATATGAAATAAATTCAGCTCAGAATTTGTGAGCATTACATAAATTGAACTCAATGAGACTGAAGTATTGCTCGTTTTTTTTTTTGTTTTTTCCATTCGCACTCCACATCGGTCCGACTAATGTTGTGAATGGTATGGATCGCAAGTGCTGCAGCCTGACTACATTTGTAGTCGCCATGAGGACATTCGCACTCGGTAGACTTAATATTACCCACACGAAGATTTATTTGTAGTTAGAAGAGTTTTCAAAATCATTTTTAAATCAGAGGTTCTAAGAGTGCTTCAAAACATGTTTTCAGTTTACACAACTCATTAATAGAAAACTATGTTTTGCTCACCGTGACTTTATACGACTCATTCTTCACACTAGCTTGCACCACCCCTCTTATTATACCATCAGAGTATTTACAAGCTTGTATATGGTTGGATTTATATTGGTTTTCACCTCGTTGAATGGATTTGGATTCACCAGAAAAGAAAGAAGTGAGAGCGCTTATCGTAACCGCCGCCATGTTGGTTCTAATTATTCATTGTTTAGAGCCAGTCAAAATCGCGTCCATGTTAACGTGACGTCACACTTTGGTACCCTATAGTCAACTGTACATGACAATCAACCTAGTAGTCCTGCGTTCTTCATACCAAAGGATATTTTAGAAGAGTTAAGGGGCCGTAGTTTCTCTTGAAAAAATTCCAGGGATGTTCCAAATGTCAAGATGGACAATTAATGCGAAGGCTACAAAACTATGGATTGTTAAATTTGAAAAGTTTTTCTAAGATCTCTGATGAGGGAATTGACAATATAATAAAGGAATACATTGCTCACCACGGTACCACGACAGGAGTAACATTCATAACAGGAAATTTTTGGTCTCTGGGGTTGCATATCCAAAGAAGACGCATTAGAGCATCTATCAGCAGAGTGGATACACGTAACACAGCTCTTCGCTGGGGGGTTGAGTCTCAAGGAGAAAATATTTTGTTCACTGGCCTGATTCATTATGGCATTTAGATGGACACCACTCCCTAATAGGGTGGAAATTTGTCATTTATGGGTGCTGAAACAATTGAAGCGAATGGCAGGTTGTGGCCATCTCGTATAAGAGATGATTATGGTGGCGAAAATGTTTTGGTATGTGATGCAATGGTTGCTAGAAGAGGAGATGGAATAGGTAGTTTTGTGGCTGGTTTTTCTACTAGAAACCAAAGAATTGAAAGAGTGCGGCGTGATGTTTTTCATTGTGTTTGACAATTTTTCTATTATCATTGTTATGCAATGGAACAAACTGCAATACTTAATATTGACAATCCCATCCACATGTTTGCATTTCATCTTAGATTCAAGCCAAGAATAAACTTTTCACTGAACGTATTTAAAAACGTGTTGAACAATCATGCCCTTTAAAAACAGAATCTTCTCCAAATCGAATATGGCTCAATGGAAGACTGAGTGAAAGCAATTCTCTAAGCCAAAATGGTTTGCATGATGTCTATGCTGACACATTTTATGGTGAAGATCTAGAAGGCCCATCTCCTTTTTCAAGCTTTGATGATAATGTCATTGTCCAACCTGTTGAAATTTCTCTTGAGGATGAGTTATCTGAATATGTTCTTCAGCTAGTGGACCCAAACGTGAATTCACAAGCTGGCATTGATTTATATGAACGAATCTGTCTCTTGTTCTGGAAAAACTTGTTTCCATGACAACACCAAACAAATGACAGTGATTGCCAAACGTTTATCACTTACATAGTCTTTCTTTCTTGATTTTTGAGGACAGTTCATTATAAGAATGAGATATTGCCTAATAAGCCCCAAGTTCAAGTACACTGGAAAAGAATAATCCCCAGGGGGCTTAATACAGGAAATACAGTAACTTATCGATTATTCCAAGATCACACCATATTTTCTAATCCATTCTCCTCTCCTTAATAATGAATGGTCCCTTATCCCTGATGCATTCATACAATGAGTCATCACATTGTGATATGTATGCAAAATATCAATGGGAAAAAAAGAAATAACAACATTCTTATTTCTTTTTTTCAACATCTGTAAAGGTTGAAGGCACTGGTAGCTTTGATGTCAGGGATGCACGTGGAACTACAAGTGAATTTGTACAGGTACTGGCTGTTGGCATGTAGCTATAGCAAATGTCTTCTTGTGATTCTGTATCCTAAACAATAGAAAAGTAGAAGGTCAACCTTGAGCAAAACCAGTTTTTTAAATAGAAATAGAAATTGATTTGATTACTCATACACCACCTTTCATTATGACAATTCCCTCTTTCAAGAAGACCATACACACATCCATTTAAAACAATAATTCCCAAAGGGTAAAAAAAAATTTAGAAAAATTCATGACCTCATGAACTGCCATATCATTATAACATTGCTTAAAGGTAATGCTTGGTGAGATAACAAAACCAAGTATAGGTTATCAGTATAATCCTTATCATTTCTGATTATTATTATTGTTATTGTTATTATTATTATTATTAAAACTGTGAAATGCTATACATGTTTTGCTAATTTTCGCTCTACAGCTTCCCGCCATCCGTTTGGAAATCCACGAATACCCAAACAAATCACGAAGGGTCAAATGCAGCAATCGGAGAAGTTCGTTATTTCGTTCCCAGACATCCGAAATTTCGACACGTCCAAGATGGGGACTGTCGACACTTGCAGTGCCGTTTTTGGGGTAAATCGTGCCCGCCGTGTACAAGAGTTATAAAGGAATTCACGATGGACTCATACTGATTTTTTAATATATTTTAAATTAACCTAGCACTAGCCAAAGAGCTGTAACATGAAACGCGTTAGCATCGCGCAACAACAATAGTAGCTTTCAAAGTGATGGTAAAAAGAACATGGACACATGGACACTTCCAAAAGAAGTTTATAAGCTCAGGCATACTTATTACGAAATCGTGAGTCTAAAAGATGGCTAACTCAGAACTACAGATCTAAAGTAAAATATATCAATATCGATTTACGGATTACAAGTTTAAGACGTAGTGAAAAAAAGAAACATATATTGTAAGATAAACTTGATTCCTATTGACAACTCAGACAGAAAAATCGGCATAGTATACAATCATACATGATAAAACAAATTGTATGTGGTTATAGCTTGGCTCTGGGCAATTGTCTTTGACTGTTCTCAGCCTGTCTTTTCCTTCGATTTCCATCTTTAGTTCCTGGAACAAGGTAAGATTCATCTCCAGAAGATTGTAGATGCGACTGGGTTCGACATCGGCGGCGTTTTGCTTCAAAATATTTGCCTTCTTTGAGCAAAATTCCTACGTTCTCCTTCTGGGGCGTCACTTTAGTGGGTCCATAAAGTTTGTCATAGCCTCAATTTCTGTAAGCACAAACCGACAATGTAACATACAGTGCCGCCACGGAGAGAACTCAACATACAAGAACTAATCCCGTTACGGCTGTTTAGAGGTCTTGAGAAGCTAAACCTGGCAGGGACAGAAATAATATCTTTCATGTACTTCAAGTCGCTGAAGAAAAAACACTCCTCGATCGTCCAAAATACTTTTAATGACAACGATGAAAGAATCTTCCTGAGGTAGAATGGAAAGTATTAAGACAGAAATCACAATTTAATGGAACCTAACTCTCGGTAAAATGGAAGGATTAATTACAATAATCCTGTACAATAAAGTAGAAACGATATAAACGTATAAATGAAACGACTATACTGTTCAATGTCCTGACATGATCACTTAACCTAAAACAAAATGGCTGCTCAGCACCATTAAGGTCAGGCTCTTGGTTACATTTTGACCCCCAGCGAAGTTTTTGGCGAGGGGACCCTGGGTACTAGTTTGCCATGGCAACGGTATTGTTCAAGATGCCAAATGCTAAAAGGAATTCCAAGATGGCGGTTATTATCGCTATTTTCACGAGTTTTGATGCTGTTTTCAAGCCTTCGGAAAGAAACAGTTGCATTGTTTCGTTCCATAAAATCTAAGGAGCAACAGGGCTAGGTATTTTCTGCAGCCTTAATCTCTGACATCAAACTACAGTACTTAAAAGCAATGAAATCTGATTATGATCGACAACCGACGTTCTCACTCGGACTCTGTTCGTGTTGGATCAACAAACAAATATTTGGGGTATAATTCAGCCATATGAATCTGCAGGTACGTATTCTTTTTATTGATGATATAGAATTAAATTTCGTTAAGAATTTTGTTTAACCAAAGCTAGAAATATCGAAATAAAAATTAAATATAATTCTTACATTGTTTTACATTATATTTCTTTCAAGCCCAACCGAAGCCTTAAAAAACTTACTTTGAAAATCTTTGTTTTATTTCTACACATTAGCGCTTACGACGTTCAAAGCTGTTCAGCGATTTTTCAAGAATAGAAATCTATTTTCCACTCCCTTAGAAGAGCTCTAGCATATTTTATTTTCTTTAATAAACAGGAAGCCGTTTTGTCAGACTTCATTTGTTCTGTCGATGGCGCTACCAGTCCATTGTTTACTGTACATAACTTTTCCCATTCTACAAGCATAGCTTGGCTCTTCCTACTCTCTGCCAGAACTTTTACTTGTATATGAGCTAAATCTTTGTTGTAGCTTTGTTCTAGTTCTTCATCTCTTTTTTTTCTCGCTTTCAGCATTTTCAGATGTAAGTGCTTCTTGTCAAGAGTTTCTAGTTCTTTTGATGGTCCAAAAAGTACTTGTATAGCTCTGCAGAGACTGCTCTTTACAACATATTCATACCCTTGGTCTTGCAGGTGAGTATGTTCTGTAGTTTGCTCCTCTTGAAAGGGGTCTCTGTCTTTCAGATTAATGACTTCATCAGGAGCAGGATAAACTTCTATTACCTCTTCCATAGGAYCATTCGGCTCAGGCACAGACTCATTCAGCTGGGGCACAGGCATAAAATCATTCGGCTCAGGCACAGGCTCATTTTGCTCAGGCACAGGCATAGGATCATTTGGAACAGCATCACCTAAGTATGATGTATGCACCCTCTTTGTCGTTCCATCTTTCTGGTCAACCCTAATGATGTGTAAGGGGATTGCTATGTTCTCTCTGACACACACCTCCCAACAGCTCTTCAGGTAATGCTCTTCATTAGACAGAGTTTGAGATCTGAAGTGATGTAGCTGTGGACCCCTTAATAATGGATCAGGGTAATCAGAGACATCATAAAATTCAATTCCGTTGTCTGTCTTCTTCCACCAGACACTCTCACCCTCAAGCAAGAAATCACTTATGTGCTGAAGGTGAGACTGCCACTCTCTTGAATGCTTCTTGATGATGGAGAGAGGGATGACTGTATTCTTTCGTTGTGGTAGACATTTGGAAAGGTTACTGACTTGAGCTTGCTGTCGCCCTGGATCATTTGCTTGAAGGCCAAGTTCTCTCTCTGCCTGAAGGCGTATGAATAGGTTGGGGATGATGTGTCCAGGATGGTAATTGCTGGTCTGTTTAGTTATCCTCTTGATACTGTTGAAGATCCTCTCTTGCCTTTCTGCATTAGTTGATTGCCCAGAGATGATTCTCAACATATCACCTGCATGTGCACTGAGGTTATGAAAATACACACCAAACATTTTCCTTAGGGTCAGCTTTTTAGGATTGTTGACAATGTAGTCATGCAGCAGTATTGAGTGATACCATGCCTGGTTGTAATACCGAAGAACTTGAGCAGGAGAGCGGTTCTTATCACCAGAGTACAAAATTCTTTGCATCTCGGTCAGAGTGTCAATGGTTTGAAGGGCTTCTTGGGAGAATATTCCTGACTGGTGAGCAAAACCTGCAGTCTTAATTAAAGCTACTCTGAAATCTACACATCTCTTGCTGTCTTTGCCTGCTAGACTCAATGAAATGGCCTCCTCCAGGATCTTAGATTCTTCTCTAGACAAGTGTTTAGGGAATTCTGCAAAAAAGTTCTCAATATGGTGACCCAGGTCATGGAGCRGTTCACATGGTAGGATTTCATAGCTGTCAAGGCCTAAATTAGAGAGTGAATCATTTGGTGTGTTAAACAAAAGTGCTGGAACCCGTTGTTTTCCTTGCAAGGTCTCTGTTAGTAGTTGTCTCAGGTCTTCCTTTGTTTTTCCATCATAAATTTGCCTTGATCCTAACTCTTCTGCTAGCTCAGTTTTTGAAAGACCTTCAAGAGGCTTTAATTTCTTTTGCATGGATTTTCTTCGAGCCACAACTCCTTGTAGTATGACATCCTGTCTCTCCTTTAGGCTTGTAAAATGACAATTTAGAGCATGGTCAAGGCAGTAAACCATGTCACAGTGGATGCCACAAGCAGAGCAAAAGTAATTACTACCCTTTTGTTGGCCGGCTTCAAAGGCTCGAAGTGGCATATCCCCATGACAGAGCCTCAGTTTATCAGTAAATTCAATATTCTTTACTCTTTCAGTGCATTTATTTCCGAGGCCAGCAATGCATTTCAACCTTTCCTCACTGTAAAGAATTTGTTCACTCTCTGAGCTCCCACATCGGGCAATGAAATGAAGCTCGGGTTCTTCTATTATTTGTTGTATATTGACATTTCTGCCRAATGCCTGCTTGTATTCTTCATCTGTGTAAAACACAGCAGGGTCATACAAGCAAGTGATCAAACAAACTAGGTAGCCTGAGTTTGCAACAGTGGAATTATCTAGCCAGACCATAAGATGTCTTGTTCTTTCTACTTCCTTAAGTTTTTCTTTCATTTTAAAAATGTCATTAGTGTCAATACCATTTAGCTCATTTACTCTCTCAAGTTCACCTTGAAGCTGCTCTTTGGTCATTCCATTAATATCCTGGTTACTTGTTGCTCTTAAGTACTTCATTTGTTTTGCT